GGAGTAGGAAGAGATTTGAGGTAGGCAGATGAACAAGACAGTAAAGGGGTGAGGGCCTAACAGCTATGTCAGAGGAGAAAAGGGAGCATATAGGAGAGACACGGCAGAAACAACAGACCCTGGCAAAAGACTGGATCCAGAAGGTGAGAGAGAGTAGGGAGTCAAATCCATTAATTGGTCAATCAACAAACATTGATTAAGTGCCTAACAAGTGCCAAGTACTGTGCTAAGCTCTGGAAATACAAAAACAAAAAACAACCCATGCTTTCAAGGAGCTCACAGTCTAACATGGGAGAGCAATCTACAAACAACTATGTATGAAAAAGATATCAGAAGGATAAATTGGGAACAATCCCAGAGGGAAAAGTGAAGGAGGACAAGGAAAGACTTCAAGCAGAAGGAGCCTTGGAAGGAGGCCAGGGAAGCCAGGGAGCAAGGATGAGAAGGAATAGTGGAGGTATGGAGGACAGTGAAAATTTGTGAGTTGGGAGATGGAGTGTAGTGATTTTATATATGATCCTGGAGGTAACAGGGATTCATTGGAGCTTATTGAATAGATGATTAATGATCAGACCTGTGCTTAAGATAAATTCGATAGCTGAGTGGAGGATGAACGGGAATGGTAAGAGCCTTGAGGCACATATCTGGCTGTGATAATGGCAGTGTCAGAGGAGAGAGAGAGGCATATCTGAGAGATGTTGCAAAAGCATAAAAGACAAGGCTTGACAACTGATTGGATATCATTTGGGGGAGTGACAGAGAGTGAGGAGTCTTAGATAACTGGAGATAACTTAGAGGGAAAGTTGTGACTGGGAGGATAAAATACAACTGGTAACATGCAAAACATTTTTTTCTCTCTAGTAATTCCCTAGAAGTCTGTGACTTTTTGTACAATTTCAATTTAAAAAACTATTGATTTCAAACAATATCCACTTTTCATAACACATGAAATCTATAGTACCATAAATACTGTATAATTTTACAGAAATACTGTACAATTTTACAAAAGTAAAATTCTTAAAACCAAAACATTTTTTTAACCTGAATCTTACCTCCCACTGTGTCAGATGGCAGTGTGAAGGTGTTATACTGTAAACTATACAGCTGTAAAACTCTTTACCTTGGCTACCCTCTGAAAACCAAGAGAGAGGTTTACTGGGATATTGGTCACTGCTGTCAGAAGATGCCAAGACTGATGAGATCTCAACATTACCTCTGACACGCTATCCTTCACCAACATGAAGAACTCACAAGCTTGAAATAATCCATCAGCTATTGATCACCATTTGAGATCCTTAAGGGTCTCCCAGCCCTCACAGCACTGTAGACATTCCAGCATGAAGTTTATCTAACACCATTATTTTCTCACCAAGTTGCATCACTGACTTTGCACACTTGGGCTTAGAGCCCAAAACACTTGCACTATGCTTCGGGGGCATAGCTGCAACACAAAACTTAAGTCTTAAAGGCAATGAAAAGATGCAACAGATGCAGAGGGAGCTCTTTACTATACAAGTGTAGGGTGAACAAGAGGAGTGCAGCATTGACTGCATACAGATGATAATTGAATTGATGGGAGATGAGAGGATTTGGAAGGGTGGAAAGAGAGGCAAAGTATGCTGGTGAGATGAGGAGGAAATGGATGAGTAAGACCTAGAGGCAGAAGGGAAAAGGTCTTTTTTGTGGGTAGACTAGTCTGGTGAATGAAGAGTTTATAGGAGAGCAGTCTTCAAGAATTCAATTCAATAAGCATCTTCATTCCAAATGAACTTTCTTGATCTGGAGTTCCCCAGCCAGACATGTCAAATTCTCTGCAGGCCTATGGCTACAGGTAGCATACAACTCTCTCCAGTAATCCAAATTAAAATTAAAATAAAAATATAATAAAACATAGATAATGTAACATGTGGCTTTGTCAATACATAGCCAACAGGGATCCCCTATTTCTATTCACTGGCCTACATCAATGATCCTTATTTTTGTTGTTAAGTTGTTTCAGATGTGTCCAACTCTTCATGACCCCATTTGGGGTTTTCTTGGCAAAGATACTGGAGTGGTTTGCCATTTCCTTCTCCAGCTCATTTTACAGATGAGGAAACTGAGGCCAATAGGGTGAAGTGACTTGCCCAAGGTCACAAAGCTGAGTGTCTGAGATCTGATTTGAACTAATGAAGATGAGTCTTCCTGACTCCAGGCCCGACACTCCATCTGCACCACCTAGCTGCTCTAATGTTTCTTATAGGTCAGGACAAAAAAGTACAGTATTAGGCACTCTGCCTAAGACTCAGGGAAACTTGAGTGGGTAAGCGGGTAAGGGAAGTTAATACAAAGAGAAAAAACAGATCAACGCCTGTCCTCATTCTACTAGGAGACCATAGATTTAGAGCTGGAGGACGTTAGCTAAGAGGTCACCTAGTTCAACCCTATCGTTTTACAGATGGGGATATTGAGGCCAAGAAAGGTTGTGACTTGCCAAAAATCACAAAAGTATTATTCCAAGGAATCATATTTCTAGAGCTAGAAGGGCCTTCAGAAGCCTTCATTTTACAGATTATGAAACTGAGACCCAGAAAAGTTAAGTAATTTGACCAAGATTACTGACTGACAGAGCTAGAATTTAAACCCAGGATCCTCTGACTCCAAATCTGTCCACTGTATCATATGGCCTGGTGAAAATAATAAACACAAAAGTAAATAATCTGAGGTGGCAGAGATCCCTAATAACTAGCAGATAAGGCTAGAAATGCAGATACAGTGAATACCTCAACAACCCCACCCTTTCCCAGCAGTAGTAGCTTTATTTCTTCTGTTTCCTCTCACTGAATATCTAATCTGGCCAATTTAGACTCTCCCTGGGTGTTAGCCTATGCAGTAAGATTGAAACTGATTATGCCTAAGGGTAGAACTGGGGACAACAAGAAATTATGACCATCAATGCCTGGTTAATTTTTTAAAGCACTTGAATTCTTTACAAAATTCTTTCCTCTGTCTCAATCCTCACAGTAATTCTTACTTATTATTATACAAATATAAGAATATTATTATAATTCTTACTTATATAATTATAACAATATAAAATATAATTATAATAATGTAGTAATACTAAAAAGGAAAACTGAAGAATAGGCAAGGCAGTTAGTGGCATAGTGGATAGAGTACCAATCCTGAAGTCAAAAAGATTCTTCTTCCTGGGTTCAAATCCAGCCGCAGATACTTACTTAGAGATCCTGGGCAGGTCACTTAACCCTGTTTGCCTCAGTTCTTTATCTGTAAAATGAGCTAGAGAAGGAAATGGCAAACTATTTCAGTATCTCCACCAAGAGAACCCCTAAGTAAGTCATAAAGAGTCAAACGTGAGGGAAACAACAAAGGTGTCGCAGTGGGTAAGACTGCTGGATGGTTCAAATTTCCTTTATTAACTGTGTACCTGAGCAAGTCATATAAGCCTCTTTCAGTCTCAGTTTTCTCATCTGCCAAATGGGAATAACAATAGCATCTACCTCAAATGGTTGTTGTGGCTCTCATGAGATAGCATCTATACAATACTTTCCAAGCCTTCAAAGTACATCAGAAGGAGATCTGTCGGTGAGTGAGAGCAGATCTTTGGTAATTCCACCACTAATTTGGGAAGATATCAAGTTGGGGTTGGTTCTTTTAGAACCATTTTAATGTGAGCCTCCTGCTGTTTTCTCACCCTGATACTGTGACAAGGGATTTCTTGGGAATCAGGAGTTAGAAGTTCAAATCCTTGCTCTAAGATATGCTATGTAACCTCGAGCAAGATATTACTGGCTAACTATGTGACCCGGGGCAACTCACTTAACCGCTGTTTGCCTCAGGTTCTTCATCTGTAAAAGGGGGATAATAATAGCACCTACGCCCCCCCCAGCTATTGTGAGGATCAAAGAGATAATTGTAAATGTTAGCTATTATTAGTATTAAACCTCCCTAGGCTTTGTTTCCAGACTAGATGACCCCTAATGTCCCTTCCAAATCTAAATCATCCACGAATCTCTTCACTGCTGTTTGCCTGAGAAAGCTGCCTGGTGGACAGAAATTACCCTGAAAAGTTTTCCCATAAACAAAGAAGTCCAGAACTATAAAAAGCGCCATTTGGGGTGGGGGTGGAGGGATGGGAAGGCTTTTGAGGCTTGGAGGCAGAATTTTAGGACCAGAGTCTCTGGGATTTATTTCTACAAACCTCATTTCAAGCTAAAGTCAGCGCGTTGGTTTTTACCCCTGAGCTGGGTAACCCCAGCACAAACACTTGGGTTATTTAAATTTTAATTTTAGCAGGGGGCAGAGGAAGAGGGGGAAGGGAGGGGAAGGGATGTAAGGAATTTGTTTGACCATCTCAAAACAGTTTGTGGGATTGCTCCCTCTCCCTCTGGAAAAAGTACCCAAGGGCAGGTTTTTGTTCCCTCAGCGGGGCCACCCTGGCCAGTTCCCTCCCTGCCCCCGAGAGTGGGCATCCCAGGTCACTGCAGCTGCAGAGGGCAGAGTTCTGGCCTGTGCGGTCCCGAAGGGGCAGGTGGGGTCCAGGCCCCCGCCGGGGCGGCGGGGCAGAAGGCGCCGCTGGGGGCCGCCCGTGCGCCAGCTTGGCCGGCCCGGGGCTGCGCCGTGCGCTCCCGGCTCGGCGCTCGGAGACACCAACACCGGCGGCGGCGGCGGCGGCGGCAGCAGCAGAGTGTCTCCTCCGCCGCGGGGAGGAATGCGGAACCAGTGCCCGAGCCGAGGCCGCCGGAGCCCGGGCGCCGGGGCTGCGAGGATGGCAGGCGCGCCGCTCCCGCGGACGATGGCATAGCGCCTGGGTCCCCGCCCTGGCCACCTCGCGCTGCAGCCCGGAGCCTCCCCGCGCCCCGGCCCCCGCCCCCGCGCCCCCCATGCCGCACCAGCGGCCGGCGGCGAGGTAGCCCTTCGTCCCACCCCCACCTCTCCGTCCCCGCTCCCCCCACCCCACCCCCACCCCAAGAAGATTATTTAGAGAAGCGGCAGCGGGGGCAGCAGCAGCAGCAGCAGCAGCAGAGACAGCAGGAGACGCCGGGAGCGAGCGCCGGGCTCCAGCACCACCCATGGCGAAGGAGAAGAAGAGGGCTCTGCTCGAGCTCCTTCACCGAGACGGCAACCAGCTGTGCGCGGACTGCGGGGCACCTGGTGAGCGAAGTGACTGGGGGCCGGGGGTGGGCGGGGGGGAGGGGGCCTCTGGGTCCGGGCCGTCCCTTTCTGCCAGCCTGCCGGCTACCTACCTGTCTGTGTGAGCCCTCGCCTGCCCGGATGGGAGACCACCTGGGACGCTCCCCACCCCACCGAGATCCGGGGGCCATTTGGCATGGGGGAGGGGGTAGCTCTTCCCCCCCTTCTCACTGGGGGAGTGGGTGGACGCCTCTGGTAGACCTCTCCTAGTCCCCGCCCTTACCCCTGGCTACCTTCCTTTCTCCTCCAGACTGCGGGGGTCCTAACCTCACCTTTCTCACTCCCTTCGTGCTGCCCCCTAGAGGGGAAGGTCACATCCTGGAAGCTGGGAGCGCTGCACCTGTTTGCCCCTTCCCAGTTTTGGGGGGAGGGGAACGGGTAGCTTAGGTGTATGCACCTTACCACCTCCTCTATGGCTCATCTCTCTATGTGTTGAACCTGTCTCCTCTTGGAAATTTCTCCTTCCCTTTAGGGTATGGAAGTTATCGGTATGGATGGGGGGCTGGGGGAAGGGGAGGCTGCCTTCAGCACCGTTCTCTGACGGGATTCCCTGGGACCCACATCTCTTCCTTGCCTTCTTTCTTCCTCCTTTCCTTCTCCCTCCACCCCCTCCGATGCGTGTTTTGCTTTCACCCACTGTCCCATTGCAAAACAGCAGCTCTCCAGAAAAGAGGAAATCGTGGCGGGGTGATTAGGGAGGAGGGTGACTGAGTCCCACGAACATCCAGTTCAGGAGAGGAAGAAAGGGTGTAACCAACTCCTGGCCATCCTTGCCATCTTTCCTATCCTGAGCGTGAGCCTGAGTCTAAGACTACCTCTTTGGGAAAGGGGTGGGGGAAGAAATAAGAGCATCCTTTCCCCTCCCCAATTTTGAAGGGCTGCACAGATAAAATCTGGAGCAGTATGTAGGCAGCTAGGAGTTTACCTGTGTCCCTGGGCCTACCTGGAGATGTTATCTGGAGGGACCATCCCCAAAGCCTGCTGTTCACTGAGAGCAGGTGAACTTGTTTTCCATCAACTGGAGAAGAATAAGCATCGTGTTCTAATGGGAAGAGAACTCCACAGTGTCAGAAGACCCAGTTCAGAGCCTGACTGCCTTTAAAGTAGGTCTGTGAACTTGAGCTAGCATTGGGTTTTCTCGTTTACAAAATGAGAGAGTTGATGGAAAACAAATTAACTGGCTCTTAGCTGATCTCTTTGCCAGCTCTAAAATTCTGTGGGATTCTGTGAGAGAAGAGAGTTGGGAGTCTTTAAGACAAGAATGGACCTTTGGACGTCATCTAGGCGGCTAGGTGATGAAGTGTATAGAGGGCTGGGCCTACAATCAGGAAGACCTAAGTTCAAATCCAACCTTGGAAATTTCCTGTGTGACCCTAGGCAATTCACTTAACCTCTGTCTGCCTCAGTTTCCTTAACCATAAAATAGAGATGATAATGAAAGTACTTACCTAATAGGGTTATTGTAAGGATCAAATGAGATATTTGTAAAGCACCTAGCCTGTAGTAGGTGCTTGTAGTAGGCACTTAATGAACACTTGTTTTCTTCCCTTCCCCACCTTCCTTAAGTTATCTCCTTTTTATAGCTGAAGAGCTAAGTCATCTTCTCCCCTCCCCCACCCCCCAGATTATGTCAACAATTCATGTCAACAAGCATTTATTAAGTGCCTACTATGTACTCGGCACTATAGTGCTAGACATTGTGCTAAGCACTGAACATACTCTTGGTACCACTGGACATAGCCTTGCCCAAGGTCACACAGATCGTAAAGGTCAAAGCCAGGATTTAAACTCAAGCCCTCTGACCCCCAAATACAGAAAGAACTCTTTACCATCAGTCAGTCAACCAGCATTTATTAAGTACCTACTATGTGCTAGGCACTGTGCTAAGCTCAGGGGCTGCAAAGATAAATGACAATCCCTGCCGCTCACAATTTAATGAGGGAGACAACATTTAAACTACATACAAACAAGATTTAGACAGGCCAAGTGGGAGATAATTAACAGAGGGAAGGCACTCACATTTATTTCATACTATGTTGCCTCAGAGCACGGGTTCCATCCTAACCAGGGGAGAGGATATTGAACCTTCTCCATCACTCCCCTCCTCCTGCCATGACCATGACCTATAGGGACCTGGGCTATATTGGGGCTGGAGTGTTGAGTTGGACCCATTACAGTTATATCCTTATATCTGCCCTGCTTAGGAGTGTGGAGGCTTTTACTGGGTTCCTCTGGGAGATATTCACTGACCAGCCAGAAGCTGGTACTTGATCTGGCTTCCAGAAAGGCCTTCCCAGTAAGTTTCATTTGACTGAGTTGGCAGCTCTCCCCATCCTCCCTGTGCCTCCTTCATCCTTGCCAGCCTCTCTGCCCTTACTTAATGTGCCACCAGGTATGGGGATGATGATGAAGGCAGTTGTTTAGTAAGGCTGTCTCAATGGAAACACTGAGTGTCAAGTGACTTTTCAGCACTACCATGCTAGATCTTTATACCACAGGGTGGGGGTAGGGAAGGTAGGAAGAGTGGAAAGTGATGGGAAGAGCAGAACCAGTCCTGGGCCACATTACGATAACAGAAATGACAGAGGTGGTTTTATAATCCCTTCCCTTTCTCCCCAAAGAAGGCTCATTTCACTTGGCTGTGTTTGTTCTAAGGTCCAGACCCGTAATTTCATCAGTGTGAGGAACTCTTCCCATGGACAATTCTACTGAGTCAGAGCTCGAGCACTTTGGTTACTTATTGGCTTAAGAAGTTGGGATGGGGGTGGGGGTAGGGGGCACTGGTTGCCTAAGCAAGTTACCCATGGTCACAGAGCCAATATCAGAAACAGGATTTGAATCCAGATCTGCCTGACTCTCTTTAGCTACCACTTTATACCATGTTGCCTCTCCTATAGCAGCATGGTATATAGTATTTTACATATAGAATCTCATTTGATCCTCACAACAACTGTGGGAAGTAGGTGCTATCATTATCTCCATTTTGCAGATGAGGAACTGAAAGTGAGAAAGGTGAAATGATTTGACATAGGTCACACAGGTAATAAGTAATACTCAGGTCTTCCTCCCTCCAAGTCCAGGGCTGCATCCACTTTACCACCTAGCTGCTTTTGTGTATAGCTCCATGTGTGTATATAATATACACATGCACATATACATGTGTTCACATACATGTATACATATACATGAACATATGCATATGTATATACACACTTCCAATTAGGCTCAGGGCAAATTCTTATTTGCTTCCATAGTGCTCAGAATTATCTAAATACACATATACATATATATACACATATACACATGTGTGCACATATACAATGCATTATGCATCAGCGTATAGATATATTTCTTTTTTAATTAAATGTATATTATGTACATAATATATGTATGTGTATATATATATTACATATATGTATATAAGAGCTTTAATCTTCTTGGCACATAGGTACTCTTCTCACTGGTATAGATTGCAACCCACCCTCATCTAGACATCCTGTGTGATTCTTCTCTCTGTCTTTCTGTAAATCCTCCATAAAGAATGTTCTGGAGGCCTTGCTCTAGTTCTTTTAATATTCCATGGATATCAGGAGACCGACCCTGGGCTGTTCCTCTGCCATTTCTTGCTCTGGTGATATGAACAGCCTACCCCCTTATCTAGTCATGCATGCATGGCCTTTGTCTTCTGCCTCACTTAACTTCTCACGTGTAAATCAGTCACCATCTCTAATACAATGTATTCTGCTTTCACTTCACCGTGCCTTTCTAACTGCTAAGTCAAAGCACCTGAATCTCAATTGTACCTCTAATGCTTACTACCTGTGGGATGGCCTTGGGCAAGTCACTTAACCTCAGTTTTCCTCTGTTGGACTAGATGGCCTCAGGCCTCTTCTAGCTTGACATGAGCATTGCCACCTCAAACCTACCTCACAGGGGTATTGTGGGGACACACAATCTTGACAGTGTTTCTTGGTGATTGCCTTCCTTGGAATGAGGGTGCATCCACCCCCCCAGAACTCTCTCCCTTCCTGCCTGTTATGTGGTTGTTCCAGATGTAGGTCTGTGATCCCATGATCCTTCCAGCTGTGTCTATGATCTTAGGGGGCAGAAATGTTTGGATCTGAATTGGTGGAGGGAATAAGCACATGGGCAAAATCACTTTGATGTGTCTAAGTAAATGTATTTAAAAATTGTTGTCGTTTTTAAAAAGTGTACACACAGAGATGCATACATGATGTCCCAACAGGCTTAGTGTGGTTTTAACCTTTAATTGCTTAAACCCGCACTAAGCCTGTTGGGACATTGTGCATATAGCAATGATCCTAGAACTGGGCCTAACAGGGGTGAAAGGAATATACCTTAGGAACGCTGTTCATAGCCACAAAATAGTTGTTAAGAGAAAGAATCAACCAAGCGATACAACATCTCAAGGTATTCTTTTGAAGAGCTGGGCCCCCCTATTTTATAGCTTTGGACCTTCCCAAGTTATGGAGTGAGGCTTGTAGGGGGAGGGGAGGGAGAGCCCAATACCAACCCCCTAATGGGACTCTACCTTAAACATGCCTACCTTGCAATGCTCTTCCATCAAAATCCACAGAACGGGTACAAAAATTGTGTGAGTTGGAAAACTAGGAATGCAGAGAGAGTGAAGTTGACAGCAAAGCAAATAGATAGAAAAAAGGAGATTTTTTTTTTTTGGAGTCTTCAGGGCCTGACTCATGTGTTGGTAAGAGGCCAGGCCCTCATTAATTTTTAGATATTGCCCAGGAAGAAACTTACCAGAAATTCTTACTTCCCCATTTCTTCTTGCGACCCCCCCCCCAACTGTATTTCTGCTTATCCAAAGAGTATGCCATGTCAAGTAGGGGGCTGAGGAGAGGGGGAAAACAAACAGGTCGTCTCGACCTGTTTGGCCTAAATTCATTGAAGGAACACTTAGGTAGACCTGCTTTGTATTCCGT